CCGGAGCGCCCGCCTCGCAGGAGTCGTCGCCCGGGAACGAGCTGCCCGCGGGCCCCGGCGACCGGGCGGTAAGACGCCGCGCCGCCTCGCGCTCGGACGCACCTGCCGACGCGGGGACGACCGCCCGGGCCTCGGTTTCCCCGAGAGGAGGGGGTGGCGCTTGCTTTCCCGGTGGGGAGCGCACCTCGCAGGCGGGACCTGGGTTCGAATGGGGGTTCAAAACGCCTAGCTTCTGGGGTCGGCACAGACACGGCCCCCCCGCGGCCTTGACCTTGCTCCTTGGGTGGTTCTTCGACGTTAATTCTCCCAGGTCGGTGGAAGCCTCTTTGCTTTGGGGGCAGAAGGAAGTTGGGAAATCAGGTGTGAATTATGTGGAAAGGAGGGAGCACGCGTTTGTGCAACTGTGAGTTCGTGAAACTGGAAACTGAAGCCCGCGCCCCGGGGTCGATCCGGCGACCCTGCGGAACAGAGCGGAGCCGCAGGGCGTTTCCACCGCCGTCAGTCCTTCCGGAAGCTGAGCCTTCAGCCCGCGGGACTCCGCTTAGCACCTCAGCGCTTCACAGCTGGGCTCCCCGTGAGCACATTGCCGACCCCATCAAGCTGGGGCAGGTTCCTGCAGGCCGGGGGGCCCCAGGGTCATCTTTAGCCTGGGGCTCCCTTCCCACGGTGGAGACTGAAACGCTAAGCGTGAGGCAGGGACCAGAGCCATCTCCAGGAGCAGCTGTTAGGGTCTTCCTGGTCCTACAGAGGCCTCCAGTCCCAGCAATCCACTGAGATCGGAAGGCAGCAGGCAGACGTCCACCGTGGGGGTGGGAGTGGGGTGGCATCCACCCTGCACGTCCCCTTGGGGATCAAGGGGCTCCCAGGCACACAGATGGAAGGCAGACCCCACTCAGACGGGCGGCTGCATCTGGGAGCACTGCCAGGTGGTCAGGGTGGCTGGACGTCAGGGCTCAGTCACCAGCAAGCACCCCTGACCCCGGGACACGAACAGAGAGGGCACTGGGGTGCTTCCTTGTGGGGTTTCGGCCTTGGACACCCTTCTTTGGGGCCAAGAAGACACCAAAGCTGCTGGCTCCCCAGGCTCCAAGGCCTCTGCAACCTCACACCCCCACCCCACAACGTGGCTAGGAGCTCCTGCTCCCAGGGCTCCAAGGCACCCCTCTGTGAGCACCCCCATGCAGCTGGGGCTCCTGCTGGCCTGGCCGATGCTCACGTGGCTCCACCTACTCCCGCTCTCCCCTGAGCCTGGGCCCCTGGTTCATCCCACAGGCCCAAGTGTGGCTGAAGGTGGACTCTCAGGTTCCAGGCATCCACAGATTGACCAGCAGGGCGGCGATACTCAGAGCTGCCAGCCCCCTGAGAAGCTAGGAGAGGTGCTTCCCAGCCACACTGCACGGGGACAGACGGCCCCAGGCACTGCTTTCTCTGCACACCACCGGCTCCTGGGGCCAGAGTCGCCATCCTCACGAAGCCTGTGTTGACTGGCAAGCTCCTGAAGGCAGGCCCAGGCCCTGGAGTGCTGAAAAGCCTACAGGCAGCACCCGGCAGCCGGACCTTTCTCCGACAGAAGCCCTTATGGGTCCTTGCAGGCCCTGGAACAGCACCTGGGGCCTCACGCTCTTGAGCCTCTTTCCAGCCGACAGTGCCACCTGCAGCCCCGATCGCATCAGGCCCACTGCCCAGTGGGCCAAAGGTCTCTCCCAGAACTTCCCTGGGGGTCAGGACCGGTCAGGATGGGGCATGCGTGGGAATGGGTGTTTCTGTCCTTGCTTTGGCCAAGTGACTCAGAAGCCCTGAGGAATGTGAGTGGCATTGGTCCCACACAGACCATGAGCCTTCAGTCCCCGCCTGCCCTGCACTGGAGTCCATGGTGGCCCTGGGCTCAAATCTGCTTCCCTGGAACTCCTGTCTGCAGAGTGGACAGGCCTGTCTGCTGGAAGTGGGGTTTACCCCTTCCTGGGCACCCATGGTGTTCAACCCTCCCATTCACTCTGAGAGAGAAGGGGTTTTCACCCCAGCTCAGGTGATAGAAATGAGGCTGCAGGGGCTCTGGTACCCCAGTGGGGCGGGGACTTCTGTCGACCACCCAGCCCACACCATGTCCTGTCCTGCCACCATGCAAAGCCCAGACGTGGGCAGCTGTCTCCAGAGCTCGTCTTCGGAGTGCGGAGAGGACAGGGGATGGGGTGTGGGTAGGGTGCTGTCCTTTAGTGCCTGGGGGCACCACCATGGACAAGGCCTGTGGTCATGCTCACAGGGCCCATGGGGCCTGCACCAAAGCACTGGGCGCAATCTCCCATCCCGCTCAGCGCCGGGCCGGTGGGAGACAGGGGGACCAACCTTAGCTGCTGTGTTGTAGGAACTCATCACTGAGCGGGCACATGGCATCGACCCCCGGGACACCTGGATGCTTTTCGTCCAGCAGAGTGACAGGGGCATCAACAGCAAGAAGAGGAGCAG